AAAAAAAACGAAAAAGGAGCCGTTTTCTCATTTTTCTACTTTCAATATTAAATAAAAAAACGAATGATCGAATGATACACGGATTCAGATCAACAACCACTTTCCTTTTTTGTTTCTTGCTATAACAATGGTTCTTAACTGGTTTTGCTTCAGGAAAGTGACACCCCAACACAGCACCAGGATTGAGTAACATATAGGAAATGTAAATAAACCTGTCATTAAAACAAACTGAAATGTATTAATATTACAATGAAATGATTAGACTAAATGGTATGCAAAATTATTAACTTGACATAGGCCGAATAGGAAGATTTACAAATTAAGTTTGCTGATTTTATTTTTACACTACAGTTCAGAAGTGGGGTCAGTAATATTTTTTAATGTTCTTGATATGCTTACTTTAATGTCTTTTATGCTTACCAAGCCTAATTTCTTTGATCAAAATGCAGTAAAACAGTAATATTGTGAAATATTACTACAATTTAAAATAACTATTTTTATTTGAATATATTTTCAAATGTAATTTATTTCTGTAATGGCAAAGCTGAATTTTCAGCATGATTACCCCAGTCTTCAGTGTCACATGATCCTCTAGAACTCATTCTGAAATGCTGATTTGGTGCTCAATAAAAATGTCTTATTATTATGAATGTTGAAAACAACTGTAGTTTTTTTGATGAATAGAAATTTCAGAATAACAACATTTATGTGAAACAGAAATCTTTTGTAATGTGAATGTCTTTACTGACACTTATGATCAATTATTTGTCCATCTTTGCCTAATAAAAGTATTAATTTACTACAAAAAAAAAATCTTACTGACCCTAAACATCTTGCCAGGCAATAATTAAGGTTGACAAATTGTGGTAATGTTGTTTATTTGGGTTATTTCATTATCCTAACTATGCACGATCATATTAGTTGAATTTTATTAGTGTTTGTATATAATGCATTATGCATTGTTGTCCCAGACATCATTTTGGATTGTGACCCACCTGTTGATAACCACTTCTCTAAAAGTTGAAGGATTGCATATATGTTTATACACCAGGGCATTAAACTATTGTTTGACAACCAGAATTTGTCCAAATACATTTTGTAATCATTCTGAAAACTATATATTATGTTCATAAGTGTAAGACTTCTTTTTGAGGAGTATGTTGCTTAAGAATTAACTAAAAGTTTTATCAGTTCAACTTCAAGTTCAACTTCTCTAAAAGTTGAAGGATTGCATATATGTTTATACACCAGGGCATTAAACTATTGTTTGACAACCAGAATTTGTCCAAATACATTTTGTAATCATTCTGAAAACTATATATTATGTTCATAAGTGTAAGACTTCTTTTTGAGGAGTATGTTGCTTAAGAATTGTGTTAGTGTTGTATTTCTTTAAATGCCACTGTATTTGATATTTTGTTATCTGATGCAATGGCACATACATATTAAGTATGTCTTTAAGTGTCCAAATACTTTTTGGGGCTACTGTACATGCTTTGGGCCTAACAAAACAGCATTTTTGTCCAGTTAACGGATGGTGGCGCTGGGCTGCGCTGCTGGAAAGTTAAAGCTCCCCCAGAGACTCTGTGTAGAAACTGCAGATGTGAAAAATGCTCCCACCAATCACCGCGCGCTCAAATGCAGCTGCGCCATTCGCTAACAAACGCATACTGTGCAGTGTTTTGTTGAACATCCGGGTAGTTTCTCAAATACAGTTAAATATGAAATAACGCACAAACCCATTATTTTTAATCCTCACGACCTGCCGTTCATTCTGCACGCTAAACTACAGATTAGGCTCAGTGAAAATGCAGTAACCAAGAGTTTATAATTCTATTATCACTCCAGTATTATATTATATAACAGCGAGCACGACTCATATAATGCGCTTACCTGCAAAAAGTAGACGCAAATGAAGACAAAGACAGGAAAAATCGGGATGGAGGTGTTTTGGTGAGAAACTCGTCACGGGAAACACCCCGACGACTTCACGGTCGACCGAACTGAATCGTCTGACACCCTGAAACACCCTGGTTATGGTCTGTTGATACTGGCCATCCGGTTAACTGTCTTCTGTTGTTTCAATCTCTCGGTTTCTTCCCATAAACGTTCGCGGCGAGCAGAGCTGGATGTAAACATTGGCCAGCTGACTCGGTGACGTCACGCACACAAACAGAAATATGGGCCATGAAGCACATGGGTCCTGCTCCTGCACTACATTATTTTATGACATATTCATAAACACAGCGGTCTCTGGTGTTGATAAGGATAGGAAAAACGTAAATAGTCACTTCTTTTTTTTTTTTTACTCCGGTGAGTAATTCTCAAAGCAGTTAATTCTGTTTAAATATTGTATGGGCACATATATTTTATATATAGGGCCTATATAGAACACTTCCACCGTTACTGCACAAAAGAAAAGATTGTTGACCAGTAGCAGGGCATATGTCACACCTTATGGGGTAAGTTGTCACAAAGGAGCCTGCCATTAAACAGCCTATGGTTTCCCAGCGACATGTAGACAGTAAAATAAATCTATAACATTAAAAAGACGTGACAGCTAGCTTTGGTCTCCTTTAAAATTTGACCATTTCAAATCTAGAGAAAATCAGCTCTATGCACAATTTCAAAATGTTGTTGTTGTTTTAAGGGTATTTTAACAATATTTGGGGTTTTATTATCAATAATTTTATCAATATTGGGCTTAATATTGATCTTGACAAAATACAAATACATCCCTTATGTTTCACGTAGACTTAATCAGCTGAACAGAAATCGTGACTGAATAATTTTGCATCCAGCAGATGTCATCCAAGTATCCTACTGACAGTGTTTGGTTTATATTTCAGCTCTATGCACAATTTCAAAATGTTGTTGTTTTAAGGGTTTTTTAACAATATTTGGGGTTTTATTATCAATAATTTTATCAATATTGGGCTTAATATTGATCTTGACAAAATACAAATACATCCCTTATGTTTCACGTAGACTTAATCAGCTGAACAGAAATCGTGACTGAATAATTTTGCATCCAGCAGATGTCATCCAAGTATCCTACTGACAGTGTTTGGTTTATATTTTATCTTTGGTCTAACAAATGCCAGAGAATCCAGAATTATTGGGACTGACCAATGTCTCACAAAATATCACTGTTGAATCAAGGGCAATTACAAGCTTGTAAATGTGCAGTAATAATAACTTAATAGAAACCATCAATATTAAATATGACACTCTCTGTTGTAGGTGATAGAATTCCCATTTATTTTATCAACAACATGGGCAAAGACTATCCATATGCAGCAACCACTAACACAGAGACATTTACAAAATAAATATGCAACAAGATCTCCATTCAATTTGTTCTTAAATACTAAATAAATAACAATAAATACATCATATCTGTTCAACCCACTTCACTCTGGAGGGTGTCAAAATACTTTTATGGAAAACAGAACTCATTAAATAAAGAAGAATATAAAAAAAAACAATATAAAAATTGTTAGGTAGAAAATATTTGCACTTAAAAAAGAGATTATAAATCTCTGTCTTTAAAATAAATAGGAAGGTTTATAAAACAATTTGTTGTCGATATTCTTAAAATATTGCCTCTTTCACAACGCAGATGGCAACGTCTCTCCTCTTAATAGCTGTTTAAAAGCTGTGTATAGAATTTTGCTTTGTGAAATAAATTAAGTCCATAAATAGACACTGATTAATACATAAACAAAATAACCCTTAACATGAATAAATAATAAATTAAATGTACATTTCAAGGACCCAATTTAAATAGCCATAATATTAATAATAATAATTACAATAATAACATGACGATGGAACTACAAACTATTCATGGAAGTGCAATATCTATGTTCTCAAATACGATAAATATTACTGAATGGAACGGGAGTGCATTTACACCAAATATGAGACAACATTATCATACAGGGATCAAATGTAGCAGTGCTGCATACTAATCATATTTTGTCGAGGGAGGTCATTAATTGTGAATTCACCTTCGGACGTTACACATAAAACACTCTGTTACGCATACACACATAGACTCTCCTCCACAGACACACGACAATCTCACGACTTATTGTTCACGGCAACCTCCATGCACTGAGGGAAGTAAGAAAGGCAGATCAGTGTCGGTGAGAGTTGCTCTAGAAAACAGTAACAAATGGTTTGCTCCAAAAAAATACCCCAAATCAAGAAGAGCCAGCTTGGTTTAAGAGGATCTTGTATCTCATCAAAATTGCTAAGCAGCATCATTTGGAATTGGAATTTGGTCCTTTTCTCTGACTTCCACGGGTCTTGTGACGTTCCTCGTTTACAGAGGGCGCCACATACAAAACCTGAATGTCCTTAAACAGCATTTTTATGTTGTTGGTCTGGTTATTTAACCCACAGTGTCTTGCAGCTGCCGCTCCTCTGCTCACACCTCAATGCCTTTGACGGCCTGGTTGATCGACTCGAGGAGGGCTCGGTTCTCTGGGTTCTGATAGCACTCCTTATCGGTGAACATGTGGGTCAGCGTGTCCACGTAGGTGTCAAAATTCTTCTCAGTGATGGGTTCTTGCTGTGGTAAACAACAGATAATGGTTTGTTAAAAGCAAGCTACATAAAAGTATAATGTACAAATAATGTACAATATTTGTGCTTGTTGGGCGTAGTCATAAAAGGTAATAGATAGCAATCGGACTGACCATCTGTGGTAGACGGATGTTGGCAAGGCTGCGGATAAGAGCCTGGCTCAAGCCTGACAGTTCCATGAACAGAGCGTCATTCTTCTCCTCTATGAGCTTATTCTCCTCCTCCATGCTCTTGAGGTTCTTCTCCATGGATGAGATCTATTGAGGGATAGAAATGCATGAATAAACAGCAGCTCCGAGGTCAAGCTGTGAAGTATCCCTTTGTGTTGATGAGGTACTGTCGTTTGTAATATTTTATTTGAAGTATTGTAAATATTATCATTATCATTATCATTATATTTCTTATGGAAAGAAGTCACCAATAATCCTATTTTCAATTAGGGTTTTGCAGTGATGAACAGTAAGAGCCTAAAAAAAAAATCTTATTACAAGCAGTTACCAGTGAAGGGTCTTATGCTATATGCTCACATTTCAGCCATATGGAAACTGTTACAAATCTGTCTTCATTACAGTTTCTGATACATGTACTGTTCAAAAGTTTGGGGTCAGTAAGAGGAAATTAATTATTTTATTCAGCAAGGATGCAATAAATTGATTAAGTGAAGACTTTACATTTTTTTCTATTCTAGAACTTTTTATTCATCAAAGAATCCTGAAAAAAAAATGATCATGGTTTCCACAAAAATATCATGCAACACTGAAGACTGGAGTAATGGTTACTAAAAATTCAGCTTTGCGATCACAGGAATGAATTATATTTTTCAAATATATTCAAATAAAAACTGTAATAGTATTTCAAATTTTAGATTGCAAAAATATTTCACAATATCAATGTTTTTACTGTATTTTTGGCCAAATAAATGCAGCTTCGGCGACCATAAAATTTTTTTAAAAATCTTATCAACCCCAAAGTTTTGAATAGTAGTGTGTATATGTATTTGATAAAAGCAGACCTGTGTATGGAGGTTGGCCATGTCTGCTTCCATCTCGGAGTTCGACTCATTCAGTTCATTGATTTCTTTGTTCAGCTGTTTTATGTCTTCATCATTGTCAAGAACTGAGGGGATAGAAAAACAATGCAAATGTTAATGAAGAGCACAAAATGAACATAATGGAGGTGAAAGAAGATAAACGAATTATATTTGATCTTACCATCACTTGCCCTGAATTTCTTGCTGATGTAATCATCTCCTGGGAACCTGGCTCTCTTCTTGTAAGCTGAAGCTCTAGGGCAACCTGATAGACTGTAGAAACACATTATAATTGCAAGATATGAAAAAATTTGCCTTAGGCTTATTGTTTTTATTACATCATCACTCAATAACCACAGAAAGCCAAAAATAGGCATTTCTAATATTTCAAAACATATTAGTAAGGCATTTCCAAGACAATTAGTTTTTGTTATATTTCTAGCATAAATATATATATATAATCTCTGTATGAAACAGTGACTGCATAGTTTTAATTTACTCACAGCTTGGCCTACATCTGGACTATTTAATACTATAATACTAATATTTATTATCTGTAAATTTCACTAGGTCCTGTCTGTACCTGCGATGAGTGAGAAAACTGCCATTGGCATGTCCTGATCCATCACATCCTGGCGTAGGGCAGGTCGGGCCCTCATTCTTGAAGGCTTTCCAGGAGAATGGTGTGCCATTTAACATGCCCTCCTTCTGCCGGCGTGCTGCCAGTGGGCACCCATAGGCACTGCGGTGGGTGGCATATTTCCCACTGATATGCCCCAGACTGTCACAACCTGGCACCGGGCACCTATAGAGAGGTAAGTGATGAACTGGCAGTCAGTTTTGGCATTCTGTAAAGATACAGGCTGTGCTCAATAAATCCACTGTTTTCGTACAGCAAAAGTTGAGATTGTTTTGTAAAAAACATACTTTAGGAGCTCAGAATCTTCTTTGTCATCCTTAGTTGGGGTGGTTTTGATTCCTCCCTTCTTGGCACGTGGACATCCAGACAGACTGCAAAAGAGAAAATGCAAACGTTATTTTTTTTTACATGAGCAGTTTGATATTTTTTTTATACAAGAATAGTTGCAAAGCTTGACACTGAATCCTAAAGTGCATCTTGAATGTTGATGCATTAAATATAAAATCTCTTAATTAACATACCTTCTATGGGAACCATAGTTTCCAGTGATGTGTCCTGATCCATCACAACCTGGGGTAGGGCATCTGGAGGCCACAAAGAGAAAGACATGCTGTTAGCAAGAACTTAGCATTGCTTTAGAAAGATAGAATTCAAATATCACACATACAATCATACTGGAAGTTTAAATAAACTTTTGGGCTTCAGTCTGGATGCTTAATGTGTCTCAGCTGGTTCGATGCATCTCAAGGACACAGTCCAAGAGAATTATATTTTTGTCCACTGAAAATGTAAAGTGATTACTGGTTCAAAGAGTACAAGAATAGCCAAAGGGACAGTAAAAAGTGTTTTACAGAAACAGCAGTATTAAGTAAAGTCAAATAAAAGCAGTAAT